CCTGACAAATTTCATGAGTTGTTGGAGTCGAACCTAGTTGGACTAGGAAGGCGACTTGGTGTGAATACGTAGCCATCCTGGTCGGGTTAGAGAGTAGGGCTAAAGAAAGAGCTCAGAATGGTGTATGAGCTTCTATTACTCGCTGTACGGTTGCTGTAACATGAAAAAATCTCTGTAGGTCAATAGCAAATATGTGGTCAACACTGTTCTCCCGCTGTCTAGCCGTCTAGCTCGCCCTCAGTGCTTCCGCCGCACCTTTAGCAAGATACCCGAAGCGCATCTCATACCTCGTGATTGTTCGAAGACACCTCCCGCTTTGTCTTATAACATTAGGCTGCAGCGCTACAATGCCACGACGCCGTAATAGCCAGAACCGGTATCGTTGCCACCATCAACCTTCCAGTTCGGAATTCTATGCCGCCGTGAGGAACGAGCAGAGGCATAGAATATAGACTTTGTATGAATGTGAGCGTTACGCAGGTCACAGTGACAGCTCCTGCTTTCGACGGCGACGACGCGCTCACTCAAGCGCGCTATATGGGCTCCACATAGGCTACCTTTTGCTTTTCCCTCCCTGCCCACCCTTATGTTTGATAAGCTGCAGATTGTACAATGCCTGGTAGCTTTCCTCTCTCCACACTGTTTTTCCCACTGGGTTTTCAGGTGGCATGAGAGGTTTTGAGGCACCCATGGCTTTCATTGCACCCTTGTGTTTTCTCATGACATGTATTTATTACTGGGTCGTGGATGTGGTTTTCTAGGCGGGAGTCCCGGCTCGGCCACGATCTCCAAACCCCCGCCTGGTGGCCCATTTGCGGCGGGAAGCCCTTCGGGCTTTCTCCCGTAATGCTGTGTACCCCCCCTTCATGTGTGACCTGCCAGCGGGAGGAATACAAAGTTGATGGGCTCAGAGACATTCACGATTGTGTGGTAGCTCCAACACGACTCGCCACACGTCTATGAGCTCCCCGAGATCTGCTTCATCACACTCTCATAGCGCTCGCAAGCGTCCTTCTCGCAATCAAATGCAAAAAGCCAGGGATCCCTCCCGAGCTTCATCACCTCCGGATCCTCCTTCGCCTTGTCAAAATCCGCCTGGTGCCACTTATCCCGATTACTCTCGCCGAGCAGCTGCGCCCTCCGCACCCTCTCATACCTCAGTCTCTCATACACACGCACCGTGTCCGGGAGAGGATTTACCCTCTGCGCGGCGAACAATAAACACGTCGCGAGCACCACGCCATCCTCCATCGCCTGCGAAGCGCCCTGGATTGACGTCGGCAGGAACGGGTGCGCCGAGTCGCCCAGGAGACATATCCGTCCTCCCTTCGATACCCATCTCTCCAACGGGTCCCGGTAAACGAGCTTCCAGTCTACGCAGGTGTCGGTGAGCTGCACTATCCTTCGTGCGACCTTATCCCAGCCCTCCAGGACTTTCAACACATCTTCGATGTGCCCCGGGAACGACCACGACTCGTCGATGTCCGCGTCGTCCTTGTGCGTGCAGACCCACGAGACGGAGCGCGTGTTCTTGATGTACGCGAAGACGAAGTGCACGTCCGGCCCGAACCAGCCGACGTGGTAGTCGCTGCCCGCGACGAGGGGCGCGGTTAGCGGATCGGCGGCAAGGGGCGCAGCGTCCATCCACGCGCGGTAGATCGCGTAGCCGGAGGGCTTAGGGTTGTCGACGTACCCCAGCACGAGCTCGCGCGCTTTGCTCCGCACGCCGTCAGAGCCCACTACGACGTCTGCCCACATCACTTCTGGCTCCGTCGTTCCGCTGTCTTCCCTATCGTTCCGTAAGATGTACCTGACGCCTGCGCGGTCCTTCTCCTCCACGTACTCCACCACCCTCCGGCCCAGCAGGATCTCCACACCCAGGGACTCGGCGTATTCAAAGAGTATCTGGTGCATAACGCCCCTGTGTCCGCTGAACTCCGGCGCGTCCTCCTTGCGCTCGTGCACCGGCTGCGTGGTCAGGAGCTCACCGTCCCACCTCCGGAACACGAACTCGTCGTTGCGCAGACAGATAGGAGCGTACTGCTGCGCGACGGTAGGGGCGCTCGGGGTAGGCGCGGGCGGCCATCTCGCGATGATGCGTCCTGCATTCGGAGCGAAGGAGATGATATCACCGAGCGGCTTCAGGACGGGGAACGACTCCAGGAGAGTCACTGTATGGCCTTTCAGGTGACATTCGATCGCAGCGGTGAGGCCGGCAAATCCAGCTCCTACGACTATCACCTTGACTCCCATTGGAGATTTGGAAACCATGTCTATAGGCATGAGATAGAACGCCCAGCAGAAGGAGACCTCGCATGCTCACCGTCTAATAGTGGGGTCTCTCCGTGCGCCGGCGACGCTATCCCTCGCAATCGTGTGTTTTATTGCAGGGGTTGGCAAAACCGTATATGCGTCGTTGATCACAAGGTGTCGAGCATCCCGAACGGTAGCTGCCAGTGATCATACGGGACAGAAAACCGATTCATTACCGGGGAGACTATTATCACGCAGAAGAGACGCAGTAAGCCGCTCTGGGTGTATACTGAGTCCAGTCTGATCCTGCCCGAACGACCGTCGCTCAGATTCTGGCGGAGAGGAAAGCGGTAGTACGGAGCCCAGAAGCTTTCACTCGCGCTTTCGGGCCACAACAGTATCAGGCAAAGGGTATCTCGGGATAGGAGAGCGTGCACTCGAGGCATATTAGCTTGAGTCTCGAGGATGTGCAAACGACGCGAATCAGCTAGCTCGAGTCGGAATTGGCATTGCAAGGTCAGTCGGCATTCTCCGGCACAAATTAGCGCCCATGATGCCCCACTGCGATTCAACTTCGTTCTCTGGGACCATGATTAAAACAATGGAATCATAAAGCTCGTACCTAGGCCTCCTAATGTTGGGATACTTGGAGGCTGTGAGTTCCTCCCAGCACTACGCATTCTTTCTGGCTGGCTGCGGTGTGCGCCATTGTCTATCTTCGAACCAGTCCTAGTAACCCTTCTTTTTTCTAGGTGGTAATTGGACTGAACATACCGGGAGCTGCCCCCCCCCCCCCCCAAAGCATTAGCAGCAGTCAGCGGCGCGTGACGAATTTCTGTATTGAAAGAACTGATATTGTAGCAACGTTTGTACTCAGAGTCTCGCGCTGAATTGACCTAGCTTAGCCGCACGAAGGAATTACTGTTCGACATGCGTCAGTACCTGGAATCCACCTCCAACAACGTCTATGGTTTGCAGATATCACGGAGGTATTACAGCTTAATGTGTCGCTTCCGTCTCCATAGGATGAAGTACCTGCCCCTAGTTCTTACGAGAGACGAGTATACGGTCCCGTCGCTATCGACATGAAGAGGATTCAATGACATCACAGCATCGACCTACTGTTCGTCTTTGCCGGGACCAGGGGGTGTCCGATCTATGAAAAGACTGAATGCAACTGACTGCATATTTGCTTTGCATGTCATCGGCCCGTCCACGATTTCAGGAAGGTGAAATGAGGAAGACCTTTTCCCGAACAGGTCGCCGTGTAACTCTCCATTTATTCATCATAATCACCGCTCTTAGTGCCTTGGTATTAGAACCCTGCTGGTTTCTCCATACAAAGGTGTTCCAGAATATTCCTCAATAATGTCCCTGTACCTAGATCAGAGTCGTGCCTATCGGGTAGGTCTTCCATAGACAGGAAACCGACCAGCGGTCCGTTAATTATTTGCAGGTAACACACGCGAAACAATTGAAGGCCAAGGCAGGGCTAGCGAAACTGATCTATGTAGGCATAGGCATTTCACAGGAGCTCAAATTTAAGGGGCCCTTGGGTGTCAGTCCGCTTCTTCGGCGTCTCTGCGGATCGTTGACCTCCGCAGCCATTGACCTGCTCGCACGGAGGAGAAAGTTGGATTATGATCTCCGGTCCCAGAACGCCGCAATCTCTCTTCGATAGCGCAGTCTACCGGAGTTCCATCGAATAGATTCTGCAAGGGCGTCACCAGCAGGAATCTTGATGGCCCCGATCGGGTTTCCTTCGAGGGCGAGAGATGTACAGGGAGCTATGGATGAACATGCTCCACGCATGCGGATGCCCGGACGCGAAGGCACTCTTCCCCATATTCAAGTCCGTATGTGAGGAGGTAAGCCCCCCTTCAATTTTCTTTTTCCAGCGAGCATGCTCTTCCCCGGGCAGGAGCTACCCCCAACACTCTCAGATTAATACCTTGGGAAATCTCGAAGCATCGCCTGGTCCAGACGCAGTGCGACGCGGCTCCGAATCGCGCCGCCGAGACGGTCACTCGAGCCTGCGCCGCGTCGACCAAGTTCGCAGCTTTGGATATAGGAAATATACTCTACCTGCATGGAGCCTTGAGGGTCCGTGATCGCCTGTTGTTCTTCTCTGGAATATATATGAACGCCAACCGCCGGAGGGAATTCGTCCCCCCCCCCCGTGCCTTTCACCTGGTTGTCAACAGTATGTTCCGACTCGCACTCTAGCACGACGTCGGACCTCTTCTGCGACCGATCAGGCTTATGTCAGGGAAGATTTTCGGCGAGCTCGCTATACTGTTAGGCGCCAGTATTATCATACCCATTGCTGCCTACAAGAGGTAATGTGCCTTATTTTTGTCAGTGTAGATGTTCTCGAGCCTTTCGTGGTTGCTTAGGCATTAGTATCTTTGGGGACAGGAGGCCGACTCGATGGCGAACGCAAGCACAAGAAGGATTCCTCCGTCGGGGTTGTTAGGAACCTGTATGTCGTTCGTCGTATTATTCAGGAGATCGTGATTCACTACCGTCCTGCCCAGGATGACGTTCGTGCATCTATTGGCGATTTGCGTGAACATTTCATTCGCCCACCGTAAAACGATTCCTTGCTCGAACACTCATTCTCTTCACAGGAGATGCAGACCTTCCTCGCTGCCCCCATTCACGACTTCGAGGTTGTGGTCGCTTATGCCGAGAAGATTTTGGTTTGATCTTTCCTTCTGTGGATATCGTACAGATGGCTCGCAGTTGCCTCTCCGTATTACAACTAGGGGTGGTGTAATGTACCGCGCATGTACCATTCCACATAGGTATTCCACATAGGTATCTGCCAGGGATTCGGATGTTAGAAGCTGTTCGCTCATGTCCAGTTCAATGAACATTAACAACAGTCTGACGGGCTACGGATAAGCATCAGTATGCGTCGTAAAGATATTGATGAATTTTTCGTCTTTAGTTTTCCTACAAAGGTTTCTATTGCATGATCCACGCACACCTGACACTACGCCAGCTACACCTCACACTCCTTCCTGCGCCGTTCTTCATCTCCTTCCTTTCAGTAGGTCTACCACAGAGACTAATCAAAGTCTAATATGGCATCGCTCGGCGAAACGTACCTGCTATTATCTTGCAGTTGTGTCTGTAGACTCCCTGTGTCATCGAACTGAGGAATGCACGTCACAGCTTATTTCTCAACCATCTCCGACGGTACCCAGCGAGCTGTTGTCAATGCGAAGAGTGAAGCAATTTTACGGATGTTTGGTCCGTTCTTGGGACGACGCGACGTATCCTTTTGTGCAATTTGCCAGAGTCAGCCTGAGCCCGCTTCAACTCCAGCCAGGTTAACAGGAAGGTTGGTCCGATTAGGCAGCTATGAAGCTCGGTACATACCATACGAGGCTACGAAATCGTTCTAGGTATAGCGGTTCTCTCACCGAAGGGAAAAACAGGTTTCATATCACGATGTCATGCATAGGGCTCGGGTGCCTTCATGATGCGCTTTCGTCGGGGCCTCAAACAAGGCATATGCGTCCTCCGAGGAACCCCGCGGATCAGCTACACGAAAGTACGAGTATTTTTCCAATGCTACGTAACTTACAGAATCTAATAACGTCCCGCAAGGCGCCACGAATCACCAAGTAACATGCCTTGCTTCTTTATTCTCACCAGGAAACACGGGATGTCTTCCTTCCATTGGCGGACACCCCTTACGCGAGGGTGTATTACGCCAGTCGACGCTCCCGTCGCCCTACGTTATAAAAGAGGAGTCAACAACCTGGATGGAAGAGCGTGCTCGTTCGTCCTGCTCGCACGTCTAAGAGTCTGGTCATGTGGGCGACTTGCTGAACGTAAGAGGTGCTGCGTTTACCAGAAATTCAGATAAGGTGTGTACCTCTTCTTGATGTCATCGGCCCGTTCGGACGTCTTCTCGAGTGGTATAAAGAGCAACACCTATTCCAGAGGAAGCCCTCTCACAGGTCTCCGTCAATCGCTTGCAGTATATTCAACTGTCTATCCATCATGATCGCTTCTCTCAGTTTATTGGGCGTACTTGCCATACTGGTCGCTATATACCGCAAATACTCGAAGGTATCATTGGATGACGTTCCGGGACCTCAGCCAGAGTCGTTCCTCTTAGGTACACCCATGCCCGAGATCTCCGGCGAGCGAGAGGTGCTTAATTATCTTCAGGTAACATGCGCGAGCTGTTGCAAAGCGGGGCTAGCGAAGCCGACTTCAGATGGCAGAGACAATTTGGAGGAGTTGTCAAATTCAAGGGACCGCTCGGGGTGAGATCGCCCGCTTCTCTGATTAATCTTCAGAAATTTCAAACTCATTAACACCCGGTCTGTGAGGTAATCAGGAAAACAGACTGATGATATCAGATCCCAAAGCGCTTCAGTATCTGACCCATAGCTCGGTATATCACTATACGAAGTCGAACGGGTTCCGCAAGGCCATTGGTCGGATTCTCAATGGTATGGGTCTTGTGGCCGCCGAGGGCGACGTGCACAGGAGGCAGAGGAAGGTCATGCTCCCTGCTTTTGGCGGTCCGGAGTCCAAAGCACTCTTCCCTGTATTCAAGTCCATATCCGAAGACGTAATGTTCCTTTCACACTAATGGAGGGCGTTCATTGACTTCATGTAGCTTGTCTCCCGCTGGCAAGAACTCATCGACTCCAGTGAAATGGGATCGACAGTCGTCAACGCACCACGTTGGCTCAGCCGGGCAACGTTGGACGCTATTGGAGAAGGTTCGATTGCATTGCCTTGCCTCACGATCGCGTTCGATTCTGAATGAGCAAACCTAGCCGCGTTCGATTACAAGTTCGGCGCCTTGAGCGAGGAAGACTCGGAGCTGAAGAGGGCTTACAATAACATAGTGTACGTGCGTTCGCATGTGACACGGCAACTGACTACTGAAATGAAGCTCTGTAGCTTGACGCTGTTCGGTCTCCCCTCTACCCCGCGCATTGTCATCGAAGCCATTTCGGAATGGCTACCCACAAAGCCGCTCGTATGGCTCTTCCAGAAGCTGCCCTTCCGTCGTTTTGCCCGTCTGCGCGAGGCAAGCCGGGCCTCTGTCCGCACCGCAGCCAGGCTGGTCGAAGAGAAAGGACAGGCTTTGCTAGAGGGTAAGGGAAATAAGGACGTGATGAGTCTTCTAGGTGGGTTCGTTCACTCGACGAGTGCCAGAAGAGCCACTGATCGATGAATATAGTCAAAGCGAATGCCTCGGAGAACTACAAGGCGAGGTTGACCGATGAGGAACTCTACGCAGAAATGCGGTACGTATTTTCATCCGTTGTTGCAGTCAGGCAGTCCTGAGATCCGAAGCATCATCCTCTTCGCGGGACATGAAACGACATCCAACTCCCTAACCTGGATGCTTTGGGAGCTCGCGAAGAACCCCAAGATCCAGACGCGCCTGCGGGATGAAATAAGGGCTACTGAGGCTGCCATCCGGGCTCGCGGAGCCACCGAATTCTCCCTGGCCGATATCGAGAGCATGCACTACCTGCAGGCGTTCTTGAAGGTTCGTATACTCTCCTCACTCTCTCAGCCTGATGTTGACGGAGCGCACAGGAGGGACTGCGTTTTCACCCAGCTGCAAACAACATGTTTCGCGTGGCGATCCAAGATGACGTCGTACCTCTGTCAAAGCCTCTGCATCTCAAGTCTGGTAAGGTGGTCGGGGAGCTGGCAATCCCGGAAGGTACCAGCATAGTACTCTCTGTGGCTGCGTACAACAGGTACGACTCGATCCTGTTTCTCCCGTACGTTTGTTGACCCGCATGGCACTGCGATCAGGGACAAGGGCTTGTGGGGCGAGGACGCGGATGTCTTCAATCCGGAAAGGTGGCTCGATGGCGAGGGCAAGCACAAGAAAGACATCTCTGTCGGCGTCGTCGGAAATCTGTACGTTCTTCCTGTTCAGATCAAACGAAACTATCTACTTAACCCCTCTCAAGGATGACCTTCTCTTCGGGAGTTCGTTCGTGCATTGGCTGGCGCTTCGCGTCAGTAGCCCCGTCCAGTCTTCCATATACTTGATAGCACTGACCGACCTTCTTTTGAATCTATCCACAGTATGACGGAGATGCAGACGTTCCTCGTTGATTTGGTTAACAACTTCGAAATCGCGATCGCTTACCCGGAGAAGACCGTACGGCGGGAGGGTTCCGGGCTGGTCTTCCCGGTCGTAACTGGCGAGGAGGCTGAGGGGGTGCAGCTGCCCTTGAGGGTTTCGGTTGCGGCTAGGGAGTAGCCGTGCCATATCTACGTCTGTCTGCTCGGTAGGACCTGGACCTGTGTTAGTCGTAGTAGTTTGATCAATCCCAACCTGTAACGTATATGATCGACTTTGGGCTCTTGCTGCATAAGAAAACGGTGACATTCAGAAGAACATCACTACTGCTGAGGGTGTCCATCGCAACAGGAAGCCGGAAAGATGTATTTGCTGCGCATGCGGTTCCTCCAGTATTCGTACATAGTCGCTGATTCTAGTCCTCCATTGTCTCTCTGTCAAGCCATTTTATCAATCGGTTGCGGGAGGGTGAGGTCTGGCGAGGTTGATCGGTGCAGCTTTATCGACTCTGGTCTGCCACAGATGGATGATACGTCGGTTATCGCCCGAGTCCCCTGCCACGGAGGAGTCGTGATCGATCCTGTTTCGAGCAGAAGTCCGATAAGGCTGGAGTCAATAAGATACGCTGTGAGTCACGCACTTAGCACTGAACGTGACTTGAGTGTGTCGTTGTGCAGGTGCCGCTCGGATACGCAGCTTCATCTTGCGCGTGACGTTAAAGAACCCGGCTACTATGCCCACCTTTCAAAAGACTTATCAGCACTTGTTACACCTAGATATACTGAAAACGAAGTGAGATACCTTATCATCGCCTTCCTTTGGCAGCGACGAGATATCCTGCCATTCCACTTTTGCGCTTTGAGCTGCGAACCTTGTGCTCAACAGATCACTCTTGGCCTTGTCTAGCGATACAATCTCGTGGTTGATTAGAGTCTCTGCGTTTGACGCAAAACAGGAGTCGAAAGCCCCGTGAAATGCATCCTCTTCCGTTGACTCCCACAAGGCTGCAATGTGGGACTGAGCCCAGGACTCGAGATCGGGAACTTGGCTAGCCATTGGGGAGGATTTATAGAGCGCGTTGTATGATGACAGAGGGCGCTGCCTTGGTCTCAAGCGGGCCAACTCAACTCGTAATGTACGCGCTGGAGGAAACGCGATGGGCATCAAGACTCAGAAGAGTCTTAACGCCACAATGTCGCCACCAGCGTCGAGCATCAGTGACGTAATTTCCAATATCGCGATTCATTACGGCAACCCCGAATTTCGATTTCAGTCACGGAAGACAGAGACGCTGACTCACTCTTGTCTTACATATGTGCGAACCCACAATCCACTGGAAGAGACGTGAAAGGTAATGCATTGGTCTTATATCACTACACCAGAATTCAAGCCCCGGTACATAGGACTGTCGCAACTTTATACCCACGTAAGTCACTCGGACAGATGAGGATCATGGCATCATGCCCCCTTCCGTACGTTGGTTAAGGTGCTGACGGCAAACACCCTCCTTGAATTGGTGACGACGTGATGCCGTCCAGTACTCAGTTAAGGTGCGGGTGCTCAGTCGTCATGTTATCATGTGAAGTATGTAAGATACACATCTCTTAGACTATTCCTGGAAGAATATTAGTATCCCCATCGCAAAGATTCTCCCTTCACTCCGATTGAGCTCATGTTTAATGCAGCAGGGGTTTGGAGGGTCGTTCAACAAAATGGCAGGAACGTAAGCGCGAATCGCATGATCTCCAATTTGCTGGCCTCAGCCTCGTAGTTGGGAAGGCGTGGAAGAGCTGCAGATATCCAGCCTGTTCGAGTGGCCATGTATGCCTCTGGTGACTTGACGCACGCGTACTCGAAGTACGCCGGATACCAGCCAGCCATCCCCCAGTCCATTACCCACAGCTTGTTAGAATCATCCAAGATAAGATTCATCGGGCAGAGGTCCTGGTGGGTGAAGACGAGGGGATATTCGTCGCTGAACAGAGGATGTGTGCGAGAGGACTGCGAAAGCTTTCGGTTCAGCCATGAAAGCAGGTCTTGGTAGGTCTTGAATGGGCCAGCGCCGTACTGCGTCCACCACTGCCCCTCGCACTTTCCGCCGTCAAGTGGCCCGGGAGTGTGTCCTTCAGACGAGAGGAATCTCAACTCGGTCACATATTCCGTAAACTGGTCCAAAACTTCTTCTCTGAGGGGATTAGACAGTTCTTCCCAGCAGTCTTGCAACGTCCTACCGCGAATTAGTCGCATTACAATGTAGGTGTCATGCTCCTTCTTGAATACGAGGAGTACCGAGGGCACTGGGATGCTGGTGTTCTCGGAGACGAGCATGATACTCTGAGCCTCGGCGGCTTTGACGAAATGACCATACTTGACCACGAGATCGTGCGGTATCTGGACAACCTTCGTACTGTGGCTGCTGATAACCTGCCCGTGCGGGAGCAGCTCCAGGACACGCTCGGGTGTAATGTCCTGTGTTAGGTCGGGGTGAGAAAAGATCACCTGGGGGGGCTCTGGCCTACGGGAAGCACAGATATCAGAGAGATATCAATCGGGGCACCTCAACTTGAACACTCACTGGGGCGGAGGAGGCACAATATAGTTGCTCTGACAGGGAGAATTTAGAACCGATACCTGGAGGGAAATTGATGCACACTGACTAGTATCACTTCTAATCCCTCTGGTATGACTGCGTCATCAGACGGAGGTCTGGATAGAATCAGTCCCCGGAGGTCTTGAGGCACTTGTACCGCACATGCGTTATCGGCTCTGCCAGCACTATTGAACAGTTTCTCGAGGAAATCCAATCGGGTCGGTGGTAAACCCAGGTGGGTACACCCTATCGCGTCGAGGCTTGCACCTGTACACCATTCTTCCTCTTCCTTAGGCATATAAAACAATGTACCGAAGCGCTAGTAAACGGGAGTCGGTACCTCAAATCATTGTCATTGAGACAGAGACTTACAGTGAAGACGAGCCACATGGCGAGACATAGCGATTCATCCGTGGGGAGGGACAACGCTAGAAATCGAGTAGCGCCCACCAGGAAGAACTGAATGTCGCGATGCAGTAGGACAGCAATGACGTCTTCGTGGGTCACGGCCTTCCAATGCGTTTGATTGGTATCATCGCTCTCTGGGATGTAACATGCGATAGGCGACTGTTGGTCATGATCGTGAGAGGCCAGCAAGTCCCGCCTGTCCTTCGACGAGTTCGAGTCTGGCGCGATCGGAAGTAGCTTATACCCGTCCCCGTCAATATCAATCTCTACGGGCTGCCCATGGCGAATAGTGCTGAGGCATGTCGTGTTGCATACCACGGCGCGACAGTTCGGAATTTCGGGGCACGTAAAATCCGAGCGTTGATACGTATCGGAGTCCAGGACAACAAGGGCAGCATCGCGCAGAAGCGTGGCCAACATGGCCACAGCCAGGCGCGGTAAGTCCTCGAGGAGTACGACGACAGAATCACCCTTCCCGACGCCCATATACGACAACTTCTCTGCCAATCGAGTGGCCCGACTAAAAGTGTCAAGGTAGGTTACTGACGAATCAAGGTCGGCATTTCCGTCAAAGCGGCATAAGGAAATGGCAGGACGCAGAGGATCGTGAGCGGTCCTCTCGTGGAAGATATCTTGTAGTCGACGATGGCTTGCTATTGAAGGCGGCACAAAGACTTGGTATCGACTCGGCCCATCAACATTCCCCAGCAATGTGTCCTCCAACGAAGTTTGGAACGTGCGTTTCGGATCTACCGATCCGCCGAGGAGCAGCACTCTCAGAGCCTGGTGAATGTGGCGCAGAAACCAACTCGCTCGTGGCGTCTTTACTGTTGTGGAGTCGAAGGTCACCTGAAGAATGTCTTGTGCAGGAGTTGCAACAACAGTAATGATAACGGGAACCGACAACGCAATAGCGCGTTCCGACGGGGATGGCGAAGGATCCACAGATACCGCAACCGCCGCTGGGGCAGCGCACTCGCGCAATTCAGGTGCCCATGCTTTGGTCTGATTGTCATTCATCGTGGGCATGAAAACTTCCTGACATGCTGAAAACCGGAAGAATTTGTAGGCAATCGGAGAGTCAGGATAATGGTGGCGTAGTGCGAGACCCACTGCTCTGCAAAGCACAATATCATCATCCACTTTGAGATCGACGTTGAGAGTCCTCGAGCGCCACACTGGAGAACGCGGACCAGGTGTCACCCATCCGGGAGGAATGTCGAGAAGAGTTCCGACCATACGGAGTGAAAGGAGGCGGACAGAATGGGCAGGCTGCGGCGTGGCGTAGTAAGTCCAGTTGAACTCCTCGCCACGTCCCGGAAGAATCTTCAGCCGCAATGGATCGGGACGCCACCGCTTACAGCCATGAAGGAAGTGCTGCTCGTCGAGTCTTCACCGCCCAATTTGTATTGAAGCACTTTGGTGGCACCATGTCCAGTGCTGTGTTTCTCTGCCAATCTGAGATCCTTACCACTAATTCGACTAAGCTCGCGCACTACATGGGAAGAACTTAAAAGATGAAAGACTCTGCTTTAGGTGACACTTCAAAAACTTATTATACCGGAATATAAACCCGCGTCGACCAATTCCAGCTGACACTTCCGACGCGTTCGAAGAGACGAGGGCGGGAACAGGTATAATCCCGACAACATAAGGGCATGATCCCTTAAAAACGTTCGCAGGTGCTATCTCACTTACGGAAATGGGTCTGTTATACGGATTGACCTCCACTTCGTCGGATGTAATATGCCCGATGCCGGAGCAGTGACTCTTAAAGTGCTCTCGACATATGAAGCAATTCCTATGAGCAGAATGCTTCTAGAGCAACATGGGAGGTGGCGCGCCGTAGTATGAGCCGTGGCGCATTTGTGGGCCCCCTCCTTGTGAGTCGTATATAAGCAAGCCAGGATGCAAGAGAGACGGCCAGGGAAAAGACGCACATCCAATTCCCTCCGCACTTTCCAACATGTCTGTGTTCAGTTCCGACCCCAACCTCCCCAATCCCTATGTCGACGACGCAGCCAGGGTTTATCTCGGGACTCCCTGTACTACAGTCTATATCGCGGCCGACAGGCCCCAGGTACGAGCAGAGCGCCAGGACGCGGTAAATCATTGGCGAATTTGGTTTGTGTTACCGAATAACGCCGGGTCAATAAACCTAGCCATGGTGAAGTCCAGTCTCCAGCGGTTGGAAGGTACCCTGGGGGTGATATACAAACCATATGCTCTCACATCGAATCGCATGATCGCCATCGAGGCCACTCCGATGCCCGGCCTCACAGTCAAACAGGTCTTGGACTACATAATCCAGGAAGGCAGACTGCGATATCGGTTCACGCCCTCCGTCAAGGGATGCACCTTCTGGGTCGAAACTGTAACTCGCGACATGGAAGAGAATGGATGGATCAGGAAGCCGGCCAATGCCCCATACAGCAGTAGGACGGTGTCAGAGGAAGTGACTTAACGCACTCAATACTTCTATATGACGGACCCCGGGACTGGCCAGGTCGTCTGTGCACCTTTCCCATCCGTTCATGGGACCTTCTTCTCTTGAACGGCTTCACCGGTGAGGAAATCGTCCTTGCGCAAAGTTCTGTCGCTAACGACTCCTCTTTCCAGGTATCCGACACAGACTTCTTCTGTTGTATTTCTAGCGCACCGTGTTTCGAATTGTTATCGTTGCTGTCTCAGCAGGCTTGTAAGCCATGTACCATGTCTCTGTCGTCTATGTAAACCATCATCAGCTACGTGTATTCGAAAAGTGAAATGTCATCAGTGCACCTATAGCATACCCCGCGTCTGAGACGGGCTGTGACACAGTGAGAGCGACGCCCTTGACAGCATTGAGTATCATATCTGAGCCTTCGAGGTTCTTGCCACGGTGCGTGGCGAGTCGGCCTAACAGAGACCGTCCTTTGTACTTTCGGCTGAAAAGTGGTCGAATGAGGTCGGAATACCTTCCCATATAAAACCTGCTGGAGTTCCCTTCTCGGACACTTGATACGATAAACGGTCGAATTCCGTCTGTCGAGTAATCGCGAGAACACAATGTACAGGTCGGAGTTTGAAGATTCGGAATCATAGCCCACTTCCCACGACCTCGACGCCTGCCACCGCCATATACTTACTGTTGCGCCGGTCGTCGTCGTCCGCGACACCGCAAATACTATAATGAGCGGTTCCAGTGGTATTTATGTCCCTTCTTTCTAGATAAGTATAATACTGTCGTAGGCTAGATGCTGGCTGCGGCTCCGTCACCTAGATGTACTTCTGGATCCCGTCTCTCCACAAAGTCTGACGTGTGTCCATGTTGTAGGTCTCATAATTGATTGGTCATTGCGCAGTGAGGATGGCACTCATTGTACAATATGTTTAATGAATTTAAGATATCCTAATAGAATTCCCGTCCACCTCACCAGCATCGCCAGTATCTAGCTATGAGAGTAAGTAGGCGAGGCCCTCCCTGAGGCTGTGGCATGAGCTTACACTGAATAGCAACTTGCACATAAGCCTTAGTGTTGGCGTAGTCAATGCGAACATGGATAAGGAGCCTGGAGCAAGCTGGGGGGGGATGCATAATTCAGTGTCAGGGCCGGTGTCGTACTGTTCTACATAGAGAATATATGGAGTTACTGCCTCAGCCGTGTTGTAAACTGACCCCAAGGGGCCCCAGAGCGCAGGAATGGCCATCTATATCACCAGACGAGAATAGACCACTAAACAGTCGGAAAATGTTATGTTCAGCCATCCTTATGGGGATCGAAATTCAATTTGGTGGGACAAAGTGATACGGTGTGTTTCGTACGATAACTGTACAATTTCAGTCCTCTACCGGTCGCAATTAATTTTTCTAGCGAACGTATGTGTCGGTGGATTTTAGACCGGTCTCGCGCCTCCAGAGATTGCCTCTGTCGACATCGCGTTTGAAGGGATAGCGAAAGGCCCCAGCATGCGCACACGCACTCAGAGATGTATCAGAGGACCTCAGCTCTACCTATCCCATGCTGGACGTCTCCCCTCCAGACTTCGCTGATAGAGTCGCGGAAGGAGAAAGCGTCTTTCCGAGTCGCGAAACCCAGGTCATAAATACCCCGTCATAGCTGAGACTTACCCACAACTTTCCACTGAGCGAGTTGCAATACGCTCATGACCACCCTCTTGTAGCCTGATCAAGGGCAGAACTACGGATGTTCTCCCCTCAATGCTGATGAGACAGGCTGGTCACGAGCCTAGGATCTTAAGCTCGCGCAGTATTTTTTCGCACCGGATAATGCCACAACGATTCACGCACCTTGCCGTGAACCGTGCCAAAATGAGTGCTTTATGAAAGACAAACGAAGTAGCGGTACCTCATCACACCTGACAGTGTTTTACGACGTTCAGTAAGTCCTGTTGATCCCAGTCAGTGTCGGCAGGAAGAGAAAACACGCGGCGAATCGTCAGAGCCGGTGATAGCTCGCAATAGCCCATGAAACTGTTTGCCTGGTGCCCTTACGAAGAAGAACCCGAGCGGCGGACATCCACGAAATACGTATACCTGTGTCCTCCTCAAATGAGTATAGCACCAGACACGCCCGCAAACCACGCCCTCTGGTCCTTGGGGGACGCCCACTCAGGGCTCGAACCTATATACCGCATCATAAGGATAATACAAACCATGCGGAACGAACGATGCATAGACGCACCTCCAAAAAATGTCTGGAAATGCAAGCCCTGGACATGCGAGACCGCGTCATCGCGCAGAGTCAAGCCCTGAACGCTAATCACGGAAGTGCCGTCTATGTATACCTCCACTTCCCCTGCATCCCACATTCAAACCACACCCAGATACCCACATAACATGGGGAAACAGCAGCTTACCGTTCTCCTGCCCAATATCATTCAGCCTCACCCGCTGCGCCACCGTCGTCCACCTCCCGCCTTCAAAGCCAAACGCGCCCCGCCCGACCGAGAACCCGTAGTCGCCATTTGGTCTGGACCCGGGCACGGCGAGCATGCGGGCGGCGTTGGGCGCGGTGAGGGGGAGGTAGGCGTAGAGCTCGCCTTGCCCGTTGTCTCTACTGGGGTTGTAGGTGGACGTTGAACAGGGGGAGGGGGAAGCGTACCTCCACATGAGCCTGAGGTCGAAGCACTGGCACCTCGCTTTCGTCCGCCCGCCGGAGCAGCCGTACGCCAGGTCGCCCACACCGCCGACTACACCATTCCAAATTCACCGATTCACATCGAATTCGAAATCCTAGTCGATACTTGAATGTAAGAAATCGACTCACACATCCCAGGCAGCTTCCCCCCCTTCCCCCACGCGAACCCCTCCTCGAACAGCACCTCGTACTCCATCAGCACCTCCCGCGCCCCCGCGATCTCGTACCTGAACCCCTCCGGCCCGCCCAAGTAGAACCCGAACCCGCCGGGGATCGCGCTGGAGGGGTTGACGCTGCCCGCGGGGTAGAACGCTTCCCATGCCACCTCACCGCATGACGGAGGGGGGAGGGGAGGGGTAGTGAGAGGGTGCGGGAGGTGCGCGGAGGAGTTGTGTACGCCCAGGACGGCGTCGGAGAGGGGGGTGCGGCCGATGGGAAAGGGGGGGAGGGGGACGTGGTGAAGCCTATGAGGATGCGAGAAGGGGGGATCGGGAAGAGGGCGGAGGCGGGAGGCATGGGATGATGAGAATCAGAGCGCGGCCGTGGATGGGAGGTAAGGCCGACACACCCAACTGCCTTATTCGGACACGCTACTTATATTTGGCGTCGCACCTTGATAGTGTAATACTCGCGGTCATGTGACGCTACCGCTCGTGCTGTCGGACTTCGTCCTCTCGCGAAATTTGCCAAGTCCCCCTTTCGGCCCCTACAGCAAGGCGCGAGTCGCCGCGTCGAGTCGGGGCATCAATAGTGTATATCCCCATGCTACCATGACTTGTCACGATTCACGAGTCATCATTTAGCATTGTTTATTCGTGCTTTGTAGGGGCGAAATAAGGCCAACTGTCGGCCTTACCTCCCCGTGGATGTCCGATGGCGGTCCAGTCAAGAGTGACACTGCAATGATCTTCCTTCGTGTAGTCTCTTTGCTGCAGAAATGAGGGCAACGGATACGCTTGGGTTGAATTATAACATGTAACAAGCCAACTACGATGGAAGAGTACACGAGACAAACGAAGGTAATCAAACAGCACTACGAAGGTACAGAATACACCCTACGAACACACATAAATAGTAAACAGCTCTGCCAATCGATGTCTCAGATCACGCGCATTATGCAAGGCATCAGAAAACGTTCCCGACAACCAGCCCAACGAGCACAACTGCGCCCAACACCGCCGTCCCCCTCCACCCCGCCGCCAGCGCGCCAGACGTGTTCGACACCGTACTCGCCGGCGCGGGGATCGACCTCGTGACCGTCCCCGTCGGCTGGGGCGCGACCGTCCGCGAGGGCGACGCGGGCACGGTCAGCGTCGTCGCGCTAGAGGGGGTTGAGACCGCACTCGCGGACGGAGAGGAAGAGGCGGAGACGGACGCGGTGGAGGCCGTGCCAGAGCTGACGGAGGTGCCCGAGGGCGTCTCGGTCGCGGTGAAGGTGAGCGTGACGGGCGGGTTGGAGAAGGTCGTCGTGATGACGGTTGTGGAGAGCGAGACGGACGCGGTGGAGGAGGAGCTGGGGCGCGGGCCGGTGTAAGTGCCTGTGTGCGGGGAGGGAGCGGTTAGACGGGGGTGTGAGCAGGGCGGGTGTCCGACGCACCGGTGGACGTCCCCGGCGTGCCGGAGGTGATGGTCGTAGAGTACGACACCGAGGTGGTAGTGAACGAGCCGGACGACGTGGCCGTCGGTATTGAGATGGACGTGTCCGTGTTAGTCGAGGTCGTCGCTGTATTGGAATGAATCGTCAGGTGCCCGCGGTTTCATGCCCGACTCGAGTCGATCGGACTCGAATGAATACGGGACTCACACTGCGCAGACACGAATGGACTAGCCCACCCCAGCGCTAACACTGACAGCGCGAACACCACCGACTTGAACATATGCGCGCTCGATACAAAGGTGTCCCGAGACTAGCGTGAGCACAGCGTTCACTCCGACAGGTCGAAGCTAATTAACGATCGCGATCGTGTATCCTGCGACGCGTGCCGAGACTCGAATCCAGAGGTTCAGACAAAGGCAAGCTTCAGACGCGGCTCAGCATAAGTAGGGCGGCGTCGACCAGCGCGATGTGAACTTTTTATAGGAGCTGGGTGATTCTGCGGTCTGACACCATCCGGGCTGTTGGAGGGGGAGGTGAGAAAGTAGCGCATCTGGTCCGGCACGTGGTCGCGCGGGCGTGTGGAAGCGGTCTCGGAACTGTCGGGAGAGGGTCTGTGGACGTCTGCGGGACTCGCCACAAGGACGAGCCGGGTGACATCTGAATTCAGATTCAGATGGGATGCGCGGACTCGGAGGCGATCCTCTTCGCGGTGGAAGAGGAAAGGATAATATTTTGGGAGGAATCTAGTGCATAGACGGTTATTTATGCAGACAGATGCTTGCGAGGGTGTCCCAGGTGAAAACGGCGGAAAAACGGCGAGGTACCACCGTCTCAAGAACGGTGCATATACGGTCTACTCGAATGGGTGATGCCCGCGGCGTTTAGTGCGGCAGCACCTATGCAGAGATGCCGTTCAAGCAGGACAGACGGACGTGCCAGGTCAGCATACATAGCAGACCCCTTTATCACGTAGCTCGGGGTGTAAGGCAGACTCAGGGAGAGACATACCTTTCCTGACGATTCTCGGCCATCACGCATGAAACGAGCACGGAACCATTGACGATCTCGTCGTACAGCCCCGAGCATGGCTACGATGTCGTCGGCGTATTCAACGGGCTTTCTTCCTCCAGGGGTCAAGACCATCAGAGGATGCGACTGCACAGCGCAGAAGTACAGCTTGTCGGGTCATCGGGGGATTTACATGTCTCTTGACGACCAGACGATATCCCCGAGAGCATTGACAAGCGCCAGGGCCACTGGCCTTAGCATCCCTGCAACCATATCACCACTTGTCCTCTCGAGCAGGTAGTCATATGGAGGCAGAGAGACAATAGCGAGCCCTTTAAATCCCCTAACCCACCGCCCTCGGACTGACCGCGCAGCACTCCCGCTCGACGAACCAACCGGCGATGGTCGCGCAAGCTGAGTCGGAAGTAAAATCAAAGATCAGGGGCGTGCGAACGCCCGGTCATAGCCGCAGAACAAGGGCGGCTAAATATAGCAGAGCATACCCTGTCAGCCCGCCCCCAGCGCACCGCACGGCCCAGTTTCTTTCCATCCATCCTACGCGTGCTACCTTTGTTCGCCAGGCTACGCTGCCCCTCTTTCGTCGACATATTGCTAGCTTTGATAGCGCACACCACTGAGCAGATCCGCTATTGAGACAGTGCGAACTTGAGTTCTTTACCCATTCAGTTCACTTCGAACCGGGCAGAGTTCAGGCCGCAGGATCGACCCGCGGCGGATAAACGACACTCGTAGGTTCGAAGAAACAAGAGTTGGACAGCGTTGTGTGTATAAGGGACGATGGGGAATTGTGCGTCTACGGAGGATAAGGAGGCGAAGGCGCGGTCGGACGCTATTGACCGGGATATCGAGGTCGACTCGAGGAGGTACAGGAAGGAGTGCAAGATTCTGCTGCTCGGTAAGTGTTTATATCCCCTGGGAGTGCGTGCATGCGGGGTTGGATTGTGGAAGGGATTCACATGCGGACTCGATGGTGCAGTGAAAGGGGCCCGGGCTCGGTTGTACGTTCAACAGCCTGCATATATGCGTCTCTTTGCTATGGGCCCTCGACCCTGGAAGAGATTGACTGGGTGAGACCGCCAAGCCGGGAGCACTGTCGGACTCAGGATGCAGTTCGACCATGCGCTCAGCGGGATCGATTTTCCGCACACCTCACCCCGCATTCACATCACCGACCACGCCTCGTCATTACAATCTCATTCTAACGCCCCTCCCCCAGGCTCCGGCGAATCCGGAAAGTCTACAATCGTGAAACAAATGAAGATAATCCACCAGAGTGGGTTCTCCAAGGACGAGCTCGCCTCCTTCCGCCCGATCATCTACAAGAACGTGCTCGACAGCGCGCAGGCGATCGTGCTCGCCATGCGCAAGCTCGGCGTCGACTGCGAGCTGCCGGCGAACCGGGTACGCTTGGTCGAGTTTACTGCTGCTGCCATGGCGGGCGCGCTGACTGCGATTTTACCAGCAAAACGCCGACCGGATCATCAATTACACAGTCGAGCCCTCCTCGTCGTTCTCCCTCTCGGAAGAGATCGCGCAAGCGATCCACGACGTCTGGCGCGACCCCGTCATCCCGCGGGTGATGGACCACAGCAGCGAGTTCTACCTCATGGACAGCGCGAGCTAGTGAGTGCACGCCTGCGCCCGTGTGCGGAGGATGGTGTTGACTAATGAGGTGTAGTTTCTTCTCGGAGGTGATGCGGATCGGCCAGCCGAATTATTTACCTACGGAGACGGATGTGTTGAGGGCCAGGGCGAAGAGCACGGGGATCACGGAGACGCGGTTTAATATGGGGCAGTTATCGTGAGTTGCTTGTCGGTTATGCTCCTGCTGTGGGCTATGAAGCGAACACTCCTCGCGACGTGACTATATGCGCCTCACCAGTCGGGCCCCGCTCATTCCTCGTTTCATCGTTTTCGCGACTCTATACTAACGCATATACCAATTTAGAATACACATGTTCGACGTCGGCGGACAACGCTCAGAGCGAAAGAAGTGGATCCACTGCTTCGAGAGCGTCACGTCGATCATCTTCTGCACGGCGCTGAGCGAGTACGACCAAGTGCTCCTCGAGGAGCGGAACCAGGTGTGCATGCCCCGTCCTGCGTAGCACTCATCGCGCTGACACTGACGCGCACCGACCGCAGAATCGCATGAAGGAGTCGCTCGACCTGTTCGACTCCGTGATCAACTCGCGGTGGTTCTTGCGCACGTCAATCATCCTCTTCCTGAATAAAGTTGATGTCTTCAAGGCGAAGGTGCCGAAGGTGCGTGTGTGCGATCAGGTAGTCTAGATAGAATGACACTGACTCTAATGCGTTTCGTGCTTGCGGTGCAGGTACCACTGGAGAAGTACTTCCCCGAGTACACGGGCGGGCCGGATGTGAATAAGGCGGCCAAGTTTATCCTGTGGCGGTACATGCAGGCGAATCGCGCGCAGTTAAGCGTTTACCCGCAGTGCGTGTCCCTGCCTTTCCCCGGTTCATCTGGCGGGACCACTGACTGACCTGGGTGTCGTGCAGCCTGACATGTGCGACGGATACGAGCAATATCCGACTGGTGTTCGCCGCCGTTAAGGAGACGATCCTCCAAAACGCCCTGAAAGACTCGGGCATCTTATAGACCTTCCTCCTCTCCGTCCTCGGCTGCCCTCTCGTCCTATCTATCTTTCCTCCAGCACGGGTTTGTGGTGTAAGGTGTATGTGGTGTCCTTGGTTTGTCTGACCATCTCGTCCTATGTATCGGTACGTCTGTTCGATTCGATCCGCGGCGTTGTTTGATCATGACTGAGTTGATGTAGGGTCGCGTCCACGACAAGTCCGTCCTTTTCCCCCAGAGTCTGAGTTATTATAGCCCTCCCTCTGTATTATAGCGAAGTCCGCCGCGCTTCGTTTCTCCGTCTCCCCGCTGTATCCCTCCCAGCTGGCCGTCCGTCTTCGCCGTCTTCAGACCGATCACCCATCCTGCCTCCAGTTCACCACGCACTCGGCGCACTCCACCTTCCACGGCGGACACTTACCCAACTGCCTCTCGTCCTCACCATGTCTAGATATGTGTATTCTACGGCGATCTTTAATCCTTCACTGTATATTCGTTCGACGATCCATCCGTCTATTCATCCGTCTTCTTCGGACTATCGAATAGGATTGACTGTAGCCACACCACGCAATGTATAGTATGATATCTATCTGAATCGTAGCCTTTCGTATCCTTTCGTTCACTTCTCTGGATGGAGTGAGTACCGAGCACTTGTGGGGTTCCTCCTATCGGTTGTGCGGTTAGTGCCATTGAATGTTGCCTGTTGGAGGCCGCCATCCGTCCTTGTCTAAGCTTCCTCTCATTGATAGCACAATGAAGACTGCGCAAACGTTTCATAAACTACGCGCTAATACGCGCTTTAGACCGATTAACTACCTAGCAAACCCGTGTGGTAACATATCATTAGGACGGCTAGGCCACGACATGCTTCCAGTTCGAACTCAATCTCTGTCCGCTATGGAGATGGTTAACGGCATCTGGGCCCCTTTGCCCGCCTCTGAAGCTAGTACTGGCACGACGACGATCGATCCCACCTTGTGGAAGACCATGTCTTTGGCGGGTAACCCGAACTCGAATGTATTGATGAGCTCCACGAGGAAGCATTGCATTTCGGTCATCCTAGCGCAGGAACATTAGATGAAATCCAAGGAGTTTCGCGGTCTATTAAGGGGTACTCACGCGAACCGCCAGCCGATACAGGACCTGGTTCCACTTCCGAAGTTCATACTGAGAGTAGAGGGGACTGGTCAGACACTGCTTTCGCACATGGTTAGTCAGTAAATCCGGCTCACAGGTTGCTTATGACTCCCATAGGACTGGCTGCCTTCACGGCGTCGCCCTTCATCCAACGTTCAGGATTGAAAGTATCAGCATCCTCTCCCCAGACTGTCTTGTCCCTGAGAATTATTAGTTGGCATGCGTTGCGGTTACAATGATGGATCTGCAAACCTGTGGTAACACCCGACAGGTACACTGATATCGGTACCCTTGGGAACAACAAGTTCGGAGCGGGTCTTCCCAGAGACGTCCATGATGGGCTGCGCGAGGGGCAAGACAATGTCTTTCACTGCCCTCCGAATCAAGGCAAAAACCACAGGGTGCATGCGCAGCGTTTCCTGTGATACCATTCGTTACATTCGTCCGAGGTATGGATCAGATAGCGCACCTTTAAGAACGCCTGAAAGAATGCCAGACTCTCGATATCGGTCAAGCTGAACTCGGTGTCTCCTCTTGCCCGTATGACCGCTTCCCTTTCTCGGATCTCTTCACGAATCCGGCGTTGCATAACGGGCCGCTTTGCCAGCTCATACAAATTCCAGGTGAGAGAGTTGGAGGTTGTTTCGTGGCCGGCAATGAAAATGACGCTGACCAGATAAGAGTGCGCTCAGTCCATGTCGGGGTGAGGAACACTTTACACATACCTCATTTCTGCGTAGAGCTCCTCGTCAGTGAGGCGACTCTTGCTCTGCTCGGATCCGTTGGCTTTGACTGGCATGCCGGATGAGTCTCCGCGGCCTCTGACCATCTATGTGCCAAGTGAACTTACTGAGTAGACTGAAGACGTCCCGATTTCCTCTTCCTTCCAGGAGCTCTTGTCCCTTAATATCGATGAGCTGCTTCGCTACTTTTCTAGTGACTGTCCGGTGCTCTCTCAAGCGTATGAAAGTGCGGAACGGCAGAGTCTCGAAAATAAATTTGAGGACAGGACCAGGTAGGTAGTCCAGCACTGCATCAGCGATGATTTTGCCTGAAGGTGCCGTGTCGAGCCTGCATAATAAACAATGTGAGAAGTGAGGGAGCAAGTAAGGTCAGAATACCGACGAGAAGTTCTGGTATAGTTTCCCCAGCTCGTTCTCGCCGTTGTCTAGCATCCCGAGTTCGTAGTCGAAAGCAGCTATAATGAACGTCTCAATCAGTCACAAAGGCTGTGAAACTAGATTGCCGACCTACCTTGGCCGATGGCATCCAAAGTGGCCCTGCTCAACCACTGATTGACGTTGATGGTAGCAGAAGTACCCTTGTCGGTGCCACTAATGATATCCTTCCATATTGTTTTCAACTGCGCGGGGAGTATATTCAGACCCAAGTATGTTCCCGAAAGCGGGAGTACGTACATGCTCCACTTTCGACTTGAAAACAGGATACAGTGCCTTCGCTTCGGGGCCCCCGAACGCCGGAAGCATAACCTTTCGCTGCCGTTTATGCTGTTCGCCTGGTAAAGACTGTCAGCGTATGCACCAGCCACCAGTAAAGTGCGCACCTTCAGACCAGACGAGATCCGGACCGTCTTGCGTAAGCAACGCCTGCCGGACCGCCTCTGGCCGATCAAATTTGTAGGCAGCAGTGTTTAAGATGTACTGCAGGGCCTTGAGGTCGGAGATCATGAGCATGTCCTTCTACAGAATGAAAGTAGTTAGAAGTGAGTTTGGGTTCGTCGTGATAGGGTCGAACGTACACCCAGGAAGCCCTTGTAACGGATAACCGATCCGAATTCATCTTGCCACTTGTAATGAACCTGGCCGATAGGGCTGTTTGCGAGTAGGCGAAGATGACCTGAAGCGATGACAGAATATGTGAGGTGGGTTGTTCCTCGCGGATCAAACATAACACGTACCAAACAAGAACGAGTCTGCCTTCGGGCCACGGACGTAGGCAATTGACAGCTTAGTGTGTCGCCGGTAGAGAACTAGAAGGAGAACCGATATAACAAGGACCCCAACGAGCTGAGCATCCATCCTGAGCGACGATTCTCAAGAGATGAATATATCGTGTCCTAGCTTCGTCTTTGCCAGTGCGCCTTTTATACACCCAAAGGAAGTCGTTGAGCGTATTATTGCTTCGCAGTAAAGACGTTCGGCATCCTCGGAGCGCGATGACAAGCCTCGGGCTGACGCTTAAGGCTGCACACTATTCACAGATTCTGCGCATCCCTGTACCGAGTGTCATAGAATCTGCTGTAAGGCAGTCGTTTCGCCAATAAGAGTATTCTGAAGAACGTGTGTCATAATACTTGCTTACCCGCAATGTCCGGCGGGTAACCACGAGGAAGTACTTAGACGTGAATGTACTGCCGGGGATTGTCCTGAGAATGAGAATTGAAGTGCCGCGAAGGAGGCGATAGAAGTACAGTATCGTAAAGCCGGGGTTCGCGTGAGATGAACCCGTCCTCAAGTACGATTACCATCTATTCGGCAGGCCGTGTGACCTGTGACTTGTTTGACCGACTCGTCTTCTCGTCAGGTTGGCATATATGGTGCAAAGAGGCGCCGCAGGCAACCATATGTATATAGTAGGTCCCACGTCGGCCAAAGGGCCTCCGTGACCCATGATAAGTGGTAAAATTCGGCACGTCAGGAAGGCCAGTGACCCGTGACTGACGAATAGATCGTAATCGTACAGGATGATCCGATCCCAGTTGTTCAGTATGTTGTAGAAACGGCGAAGAGAACTGAATAACCGAGAGTGATGGAATGCAAAGACAAGTTCGTTCGCCAATCGTCATCAGCTGTTTTGACTGTCCCGGCTCCTCACTCGAATTTGCGCGCGGCGTTCTTGGCTCTCGAGTTTCTTTTCGTCTGGTCCGCTTCTCGGGAGGTGTTGATGGGGTACCACACTTCGGGAGTTTCAGTCTTTAGGGCCGGGCACAAGATTGTACGAAAGGGAATTCCCAGCCAATCAGAGCCCGCGGAATTCCCTTTCGTACAACCTTCTGCCTGCCCCTAAAGACTGCAACTCCCGCACTGCGAGGTGATGTTCGAGGAGGGCTTCGCGTGGGGGAGCGGGGGGGAAGCTGTCTGGGATGTGAGTCATCCGGCCTTCATACAAAGTTTTAACCAGGGATCGACGTAAATTGGGGGTGTGTATGGCGTGGTGGGCCACCTGGCGTACCGCTGCTCGGGCGGGCGGACGGACGCGCGGTGTAAGTGTTTCGATTTGCGCCTCATGTGGAGGTACGCTCCCCCCTCAGCCCTATTCAGTCCATGTACAACCCCATGTAGAGAAAACGGGCAAGGCGAGCTCTACGCCTACCTCCCCCTCACCGCGCCCAACGCCGCCCGCCTGCTCGTCGTGCCCGGGTCCAGACAAAATCCGGACTACGAGTTTTCGGTGGGACGGGGCGCATTCGGCTTTGAAGGCGGGAGGTGGACGACGGTGGCGCAGCGGGTGAGGCTGAATGATATTGGGCAGGAGAACGGTAAGCTGCTGTTATGTGGGTGTCTCGGTGGGATTCGAATGTAGCATGCAGGGGGAGTGGAGGTGTACATCGACGGCACGTCGGTGATCTGCGTGAAGGGCTTGACCCTGCGCGACGACGCTGCCTCGCATGTCAAGGGCTTGCACTTCCAGACGTTCTTCGGAGGTACGTCTGCGGCGGGGATGGTTTGCGTTGGCTTACGATGCGGTATGCTAGGCTCCAGCCCCGAGTGGGCGTCGCCCAAGGACCAGAGGGCGTGGTTCGCGGGGGCGTCTGGTGCTATTCTGAAGTGAGGAAGCTGGAGGGTGGTGGCGTGCGTACTTTGCGGATGACTGCGGTTCATGTGCATAACAATGAAGCCATCGCTTTATCGAGGTATACAATCATAGGTATGATAATGGCGATCCATCTTGTTTACCACGATAACATATAGCTGATGAGTGGGCTACGTAGAAAACACGATAACAGGACGGAGACATCCGACAAGGAAAGGATGACCGGTATAGTGCGGTGCACAGCGCGCTGAAATACAATTAAAACAAGGTGTATCGGACACCTAGGAAGAGCCCTCGTCAACACAGAACTCGATGATTTCCTCACCAGTTCGCCGTTCGAAAGAAGCTGCCATGTCTGGCCTGCTTGCTTGCCATCGTTCTGCCCTGTGGCGCGTTTACAGGCTTGAGAATCCATAATTGCCAACCAAACGCGCACCAACCATTTCTCTGGCTGCCATGTTGCCCGCAAGTGTTTCTCTCTCGAAACGCGCCCTCGTAGGGAGCCTTCCGACCGTTGCCGGCTGGAGTCCCTTGTGGGTAGCGCGTTGTAGGCACGCGATTGCCTCAAAATTCGGCCGACTGACGCTAAGCCGGGCCTCGGTCCGGGGAAGCAGCAATACCTCGAAGTGATACGAGTGAGTGTGTGTTAATCTGGATGCTCCAGGAGGGTTCGGGTGGCGGAAGGGGGAAGGACGCCTGGGATATATAGATCATCTCCTTTTCTCACGTTTTGACGAGGAAGGAATTGGGCTATGTGTGTATGGCGTAGTCGGCGGAGCGCGAGACCTGGTAGACCGCTGCTCGGGCGGGTGGGCGGAGATGTCAACGTTTCAATCTTAGGCTCATGTGGCAGTATGTCTCCTCCCTTTTTTCAATCCGATGCGCGTGTATCTAACCCCGCAGAGAAAACGACTACGGCGAGCTGTGCGCATATATCCCTCTGACCGCCACCAACGCGGCCCGCCTACTCGTGATGCCCGAGTCGAGGCGGAACGCGGAATCGGGGCCTCGGTGGGTGTTCAGCATTGAGCGTGGCCGGTGGACGGCACAGCTGTTGCGCAGAGGGTGAGGCAGAATGATGAAAGGCTTAACCGTGCGAGACGATCTCTGTTCTCAAGTCAAGGGCATCTGTTTCCAGTCATTCTTCGAAAGTATGTCTACGGTGGTACAGAGCTTGCATTGTCTTATGATTCGGTTTATCAGGTTCAAACCCGAAATGGGCGTCGCCCATGGACCAGAGACCGCGGCTCGGGCGGATCTCAGGCCCCAGGGTCAAGTGAGAAGCTGGTGTGCACAATGTACGTAGGGGTGCTGTCCGGTTTCCGCTTGGTAAGGCGGTGACTATGGCATGTCACTTCAAGGAGCCTCATGAACCATTCCGAGCTACTGTCAGCGTGACATCGAACTGCTGCTTGGTTCATCGTTCGTAAGAGCACTAACTTTGGCACGGTCCGTGAAGGACTTCATCAAACGTTGTGCGCCGCTGACTCTCTGGTCTGACTGGGTACTGCAGAAATATCCTGAGTTAGGCACGGTGCACAGCCAGCTTCAGGAAACGTGGTGACATACGATCAGCTGTGACGTCTCGGCATACTGCCGCTTGGTTCCTCTTCAAGAAGACATTGACTTCGGCACGGTGCGTAGGGAGTTTCATGAAATATTGAGAACTATTATTACGAGGTCCCGCCGCTTGGTTCCTCCTTCATACAATGACTCACATTGGCACGGGTCGCAGCGAAGTTCTTGGAACGAAGTTGTGAGCTACTCACTATCCGGTCTGACAAGGTATTGTAAGAGTACGAGCCTAAGACCTGGTTCTCTCGCAGGAGGCTGCGGGTTCGATCTTGAGCAACTCCTCGGTGAAATGTTGTGAGCGACTCATCTATGACAAGGCATTGGATGACCTGGGTCTTGCCTTCGGCGACTCCTAACGAAGTCTAAGGGGGAAGGTAAAGCGATGCCCTCTGATACATTTCTGAGTACCTATGCGCACATCAGGTCTTTCTTTATCCCTTCAAACGTGATAGCGACCCAGGTAAGGACCTCGAAGGCCCAGATATGATACTCAACGTTGTCAACGGCGCCGCCGTGACAGTATCACAGCCCGTCTCAGAGGTACATTGTAGGTGCGATGGTGACATTTCACTTTTCGAATACACGTAGCTGACGATAGTTTACATAGACGACAGAGGCATGGCACACGGTTTACAAGCCTGCGGGACAGCAAGATAACAATTCGACACATGGTGCGCTAGAAGTACAACAGAAAAGATACAACAAAAGAAATCTCTGTCGGATACCTGAAAAGAGAAGTCGTTAGCGACAGAATTCCGTGCAAGGACGATTTCCTCACAGGTGTAGCCGTTCAAGCAAAGAAGGTCCCATGTACGGATGGGAAGAGTGCGCAGACGACCTGGCCGGTCGGATCCTTCATGTAGAAATATTGGGTGCGTAAAGTCACTTCCTCTGACACCGTCCTGCTGCTGTATGGTGCATTGTCCCGCTTCCTGATCCATCCCTTCTCTTCCAGGTCGCACGTTACACTTTCGACCCAAAAGGTGCACCCCTGGACCGAGGGCGTGAACCGGTATCGCAAGCGGCCTTTCTCGATTATGTAGTCCAAGACCTGTTTGACTGTGAGGCCCGGTCTCGGAGTGGCCTCGATGGCGAACATTCGATTGAATGTAAGGGCATATGGTTTCCAGATCACCCCGAGGGTACCTTCCAACCGCTCGACGCTTGATTTCACCATGTCCAGATTGATCGAAGCGGCGTTATTCGGTAACACAAACCAAATTCCCAATGGTTTACCGCGTCCCCGCGCTCGGCTCGTACCTGGGGTCTATCGGCTGCTATGTAGACCGTAGTACAAGGAGTTTGGAGATAGCTCCTGGCTTGGTCGTCGACATAGGGATTGGGGAGGTTGGGGTCGGAACCGAACAAAGACATGTTGGAAAGTGCTGAAGAAACTGGTTGTGCGTCTTTTGCTGGCCGTCTCTCTTGCATTCTGGCATGCTTATATACGATTACAGGGAGGGGGCCCACAAACGCGCCACGGCTAATACTGCGGCGCGCCACCTCCCAGTTTGCACTAGAAGCTCTCTGTCCATAGGAATTGCTTCATATGTCAAGAGCATATTTAGGAGTCGCTGCTCCGATTTAGTGCATAGTCCATCCGACGAGTAGGAGGCCAGTCCCTAGCACAGATCCATTGTAGGTGAGATAGCACTTGTGGACGCTTTTGAGGGGACATGCGTTATGATGCCGGGATCGTACCTGTATCCTGCCCTCATCCCTTCAGAAGGAACGTGAGTCTTCGCTGGCATGTTCTACACGTCCATATTACAGTTAAATGAAGGTGTTCAGCGTCACTCAAAGCGACAAGTTTTTCTCTTCTTCCTTGCAGTAGTGCATGAGCTAGTCGAGTGACGATCTCATATAGGCAATGAAACACAGTACTGGGCATGGTGCCACCGACATACTTCGATATGAAATGGGCAGTGAAGTCTGGAAGAGCAGCGTTCCTTCGTAAGTCCAGCCGATGGCGTACCCGGTCCCGGATGAAGGTTCATTCGGATCGTGGTGTTACACCATTTTTGCTGTAAAAAATATGATTATATTTCATTTACTGACTTAGAATGCCATTTCTCCGATTTCTGATTGGCTGATTAATCTTTCGACCAACATTTTTGCATGGTGTAAATGGTGCAACGCCCACGGTGCGAGGACTTCATGATTGACAAGACTAGTACCGTACGCCACGCAGCAGTCCTGTCCAACTTGTTCGCATCCCTTCACAGTCTATGGTCGGAACTCTTCTCAACACTCCTCTCAGATGGGTCCCGCCTGATCCTCGTTCTCCAGTGTGGCACTCTAGGAGTCTCGAAGTCGACCTCAAAGGGGATGATGATATTGTGCTTTGCAGAGCAGTGGGTCTCGCACTACGCCACCATTATCCTGACTCTCCGATTGCCTACAAATTCTTCCGGTTTTCAGCCTGTCAGGAAGTCTTCATGCCCACGCTGGATGATAATCAGTCTAAAGCATGGACGCCTGAATTGCGCGAGTGCACTGCCCCAGTGGCGGTCGCGGTATATCTGGATCCTTCGCCATCACCGTCCGAATGCGCTATTGCATTGTCGGTTCCCATTATCATTACCATTGTTGCGACTCCTGAACAAGACGTACTTCAGGTGACTTTCGACTCCACGATAGTAGAAACACCGCGAGCGAGTTGGTTTCTGCGCCACATCCACCAGGCTCTGAGAGTTCTACTCCTCGGCGGATCCCTAGAGCCGCGATTCACGTTTCAAAATTCATTGGAGGACATATTACTGGGGAACGCTAATGGCACTAGTCGATACCAAGTTTGGGTGCCACCTTCAATTGCAAGCCATCGTCGATTACAAGACATCTTCCACGAGAGGGCTGCTTACGATCCTCTACGCCCTGCCATTTCCTTATGCCGCTTTGACGGAAATGTCCAACTCCACTCATCCGTAACCTACCTTGATGCGTTTGGCTGGGCCACTCAACTGTCAGAGAAGTTGTCGTATATGGGTGTTGGGAAGGGTGATTCCGTCCTCGTACTCCTCGAGGATTTGCCGCACCTCACTGTGTCCATGCTGGCCACGCTGCTGTGTGGTGCAGCTTTTGTTGTCCTGAGCTCCGATGGGTGTCAACGCTCGGATTTCACGTGGTCAGAAATTCCGAACTGTCGCGCTGTGATATGCAACTCGACAAACCTCTTCAGCGCTATTTGCCACGGGGAGCCCGTGGAGATCGATATTGACGGGGACAGTTACACATTAGTTCCGATGCCGCAAGAGCCGACCTCGTCGAACGGCGAGAGAGAGTTATTGGCATCTCACGATCATGACCAGCCATCGCCTACCGCATGTTACATTCCAGTGAGCGATGGTACTAATCAAACGCACTGGAAGGCTGTGACCCACGAAGACACCATTGCTGTTGTACTGGATCGTGACATTCAGTTCTTCCTGGTGGGCGCCATTCGATTTCTATCGTTGTGCCTCCCCACGGATGAATCACTATGTCTCGTCATGTGGCTCGTCTTCACTGTAAGTCTATATCTTCATGAAAATGACCCGAGGTATTAACACCCGTTTGCTAGCGTTTTGGTACCATATTTTATATGCCCAAGGAAGAGGAAGAGTGGTGTACAGGTGGAAGCCTCGATGCAATAGGGTGTACTCATCTGGGATTACCACCGAGCCGACTGGATTTCCTGGGGAAACTATTCAATAGTGGTAGCACAGCTGATAACGGATGTGCGGTGCAACTGCCTCGAGATCTCCGGGGACTCATTATATCCAGACCTCCGTCCGATGACGCTGTTATACCAGATGGATTAGAAGTGATACTAGTCAGTATGCAATAATTCCCCTCCTAGTATTGGTTCTGAATTCTCCTCACCAGAGCAACTATATCATTCCTCCTCCGCCCCAGTGAGTGTTCAAGCTGACGTGCCCCGATTGTCATCTCTGATAGTTGTGTTTACCTGTAGGCCAGAGCCCCCGCAAGTTATCTTTTCCCGCCTTGACCTGACACCGGGAATTACACCAGAGCATGTCCTGGAGTTGCTACCACAGGGGCAGGTTATCAGCAGCCACAGTACCCAGGTGGTCCAGATACCGCACGATCTCGTGGTCAAGTATGGCCATTTCGTCAAAGCCACCGAGGCTCGGAGTATCATTTTCGTTTCCGAGAACACCAATATCCCAGTGCCTTCCGTGCTTCTCGTGTTCAAGAAGGAGAATGTCACCTATATTGTAATGTGGCTGATTCGTGGTGGGACGCTGCAAGACCGCTGGGAAGAATTATCTAATCCTCTCAGAGATGAAGTTATGGACCAGTTTGCAGGATATCTTGCCGAGTTAGGCTCCCTCTCATCTGAAGGACACACTCCCGGGCCACTTGATGGCGGAAAGTGCGAGGGGCAATGGTGGACGCAATACGGGGCTGGTCCTTTCACGACCTACCGAGACCTGCTTGCGTGGCTGAATCGAAAGCTTCAGCAGTCCGCGCGTACAAGTCCTCCATTCAGCGATAAATATCCCCTCGTCTTCACGCACCAGGACCTTTGTCCAACGAATCTGATCTTGGATGATTCGAACAGGCTGTGGATAATAGACTGGGGGATGGCTGGGTGGTATCCATCGTACTTTGAGTACGCGTGCATTAGGTCGCCAGAGGCATTCATGTCCATCGACAGAGGCTGGATCCCCGCAGCTCTTTCACGCCTTCCCAACTACGAGACTGAGGCCAACAAGTTGGAGGCCATGCGATACGCACTCACCTTCTTGCCATTTTCTTGAACGACCCCCCACACCCCTGCTGTATAGACGTCTCCCCTTCACTCCGATCTAGTGCATGTCTTAATGACGAGGGCACCAATGTTCTTCTGGGAATGGACACTTGTACTCTACATACCTCATGCGGAATGAGTACGCGATGTCTCATGTAAGGAGCCTGAGGGTGTTCGTCGTTGACACCCTCTGGATGATCGCGAGAGGCTCATGAACCAACGTACGGAAGGTGCGATGATCGCCATCTGTCCGAGTGACTTACGTGAGTACGAAGTTGCGTGAGCTCGTACTAGAGGCAATGTATCCATTTCATAGGTGAACTTCTCTAGATGGTGGGAGGCGGCCAGGCGAAGTGCACTCGAGAGACTAGGAACACGGTTCACGTCGACAATGGATATGAAGTGAGTGCATCCCGAAACCGATACATTCACGCTGTACTTCGAAAGATCGTCTGTCGAGAGAGTAAATACGGTCATCTCGAGTTCTGTCTCGGATTCCTTCTGGTATGATGGTATTAATCAATTAAGTTGCCATTCGTGTCTCTTCCAGTAGCTTCTGCATGGGTTCGCACGTAAGGCAAGAGATAGGTAACGTCTTTCTGCCATGACTAAAGTCGAAGTTTGGGGTTGTTGCCGACTAATGAATCGCATCTTGGAAATTACGTCACCAATCCTCGATACAGGTGGCGACATTGTGGCGTCAAGACTCTCCTCCTTAGTGTTGATGCCCATCGCGGTTCCTCCAACCCGTACATTGCGAGTTGGGTTGGCCCGCCTGAGACCAGCACCGAGATCCCTGTCATCATACAACGCGCTCTATAAATTCTCCTCAATGGCTGGTAGCGGCGACGTTCCCGACCTCCTATCCTGGGCTCAGTCCCACATTACAGCCTTGTGGGAGTCAACAGAAGAAGAAGAATTTCACGGGGCTTTCGACTCCTGTTTTGCATCGAATGCGGAGGCTATAATGAACCACGAGAACGTATCGCGAGACAATGCCAAGAGTAATCTCTTGAGCAGAAGGTTCGCGGCACACAGCGCGAAAGTGGAATGGCAGAATATCTCGTCGCTCTCAAAAGAAGGCGATGATAAGGTATCTCATTATACTCTCAGTATATTGGAATGCAGCAAGTGCTTACAATTCTTCAAAAGGTGGGCATAGTAGCTGGGTTCTTTACGGTCACACGGACGATGAAGCTGCGTATCCGAGCGGCGCCCGCACAGCGACACGCTCAGGTTACGTTCCAGCCATTTGCAGATCGATGGGCCCACTTTTTGAGAATCATTTACAGTCGGACCACGTCTGACAAGCAATTTCAAGTCCCCGAGAGACGGAAATCAGACCATCAGGACTTCCCTACCTTCTTCCGACGTCCCTGGGACGCACTCCGACCCACTCCGACTATACGTGGTTTTCTGAATTGATGGACTATCGATCTGCAAGCGGCTGTCAGCGCTAAGTGCGTGACTTACAGCGGATCTTGCTGATCCTACCAATTCTAATCGGACTGACTGAAAACAGGATCGATCACGACTCCTCCGTGGCAGGGGATTCGGGCGATAACCGACGAATCGTTCATCTCTGGCAGACCACGGTCGATAAAGCCGCACCAATCAATCTCGCGAGACCTCACCCTCCGGCCACCGATTGACAACAGGACTTGGGAGATATATAACGGAAGACTAGAAGTAGGTTGTGTGTACAAATATTCGAGGAGCCGCAGATGCAGCATGTACATCCTTTTACGATGGATACCCGCTGCAGTAGTCTTGGGCCTCTGCGTGAAGTCGTGTCCTTATGCGGCGATCGCCCAACGTCGATCATATACGTTGCGGGATGCGATTGATCGAACTACTACGACTAACACAGATTCAGTTCCTATTGAGCAGACAGACGTAGGTATAGGTGCACGGCTACTCCCTAGCCGCAACCGAAATCCTCAAGGGCAGCTGCACCCCCTCAGCCTCCTCTCCAACTACAACCGGGAAGACCAGCCCGGAACCCTCCCGCCTTACGGTCTTCTCCGGATAAGCGATCGCGATTTCGAAGTTGTTAACCAGATCAACGAGGAACGTCTGCATCTCCGTCATACTGTGGATAAATTCAAAAGAAGGTCGGTCAGTGCTATCAAGTATATGGAAGACTGAACGGGGCTACTGACGCGAAGCGCCAGCCAATGCACGAACGAACTCCCGAAGAGAAGGTCATCCTTGAGAGGGGTAAGTAGATAGTCTCGTTGATCTGAACAGGAAGAACGTACAGATTTCCGACGACCCCGACAGAGATGTCTTTCCTGTGCGTCCCCTCTCCATCGAGCCATCTGTCCGGATTGAAGACGTCCGCGTCCTCGCCCCACAAGCTCTTATCCCTTGTCAACTTAGGCGTTAACACACGCACGTTAGGCGCAGGATCGGGTGATTATACCTGTTGTACGCAGCCACTGACATAACTATGCTGGTACCTTCCGGGATCGCCAGCTCGCCGACGACCTTACCCGACTTGAGTCTCAGCGGCTTCGACAAGGGTACGATATCATCTTGGATCGCAACGCGGAACATGCTGCTTATAGCAGGGTGGAAGCGCAGTCCCTCCTGCGCGTGCCGTCAACAACACGCTACGATAGTGAAGAGTGTGTACAAACCTTCAAAAACGCCTGTAGGTAGTGCATGCTCTCAATATCAGCGAGGGAGAATTCGGTGGCGCCACGAGTACGGATAGCGGTCTCAGTGGCCCTGATTTCATCCCGTAGGCGCGTCTGGATCTTGGGGTTCTTTGCGAGCTCCCAGAGCATCCAGGTCAGAGAATTAGATGTTGTTTCATGTCCGGCGAAGAGTATGATGCTACGGATCTCAGCGGGACCGCCTGACTAGAACAATGAATGGAGATACGTACCGCATTTCCGCATAGAGTTCCTCATCAGTCAACCTGGCCTTTTGATTCTCCGAGGCGTTCGCTTGGACTATACTCGTCGATGGACTCCATCAATACCTTTGGAGACTCATGGGCTGAACGAACCCACCCAGAAGACTCATCACGTCCTTGCTACCCTTGCCCTCCAGCAAAGCCTGTCCTTTCTCTTCGACCAGCCTGGCTGCGGTGTGGATAGAGGCCCGACTGGCTTCGCGCAGACGGGCAAAGCGACGGAACGGCAGCTTCTGGAAGAGCCATACGAGCGGCTTTGTGGGCAGCCACTCAGAAATGGCTTCGACGACAATGCGCGGGGTGGAGGGGAGACCGAACAGCGTCATTCTACAGAGCTTGACTTCAATAATTAGTTACGGTATCGCATGCGAATGCACGTACACTATATTATTGTAAGCCCTCTTCAGCTCCGAGTCCTCCTCACTCAAGGCGCCGAACTTGTAATCGAACGCGGCTGCCAATGCTCGTTTAGAATTGAAACGAGGACATGGGGCAAGGTAGTGTAATTCTACCTTCTCCAATAGCGTCTAACGTTGCCCGGCTGAGCCAACGTGGTATGTTGACAACTGCTGACCCTTTCTCAGTGGAACCGAGGAGCTCTTGCCAGCGAGAGACGAGCTACATGGAGTCAGTAAACGCCCTTCGTTGGTAGTGCGGAAGGAGCCTTACATCTTGGGATATTGACCTGAATACTGGGAAGAGTGCTTTGGACTCTGGGCCTCCGAAGGCAGGGAGCATGACCTTCCTCTGCCTCCTGTGCACGTCGCCCTCGGCGGCCACTAGACCCACACCATTAAGAATCCGGCCAATGGCTTTGCGGAACCCGTTCGACTTCGTATAGTGATATACCGAGCTATGGGTCAGATACTGGAGCGCTTTGGGATCTGATATCATCAGTCTGTTTTCCTGATTACCTCACAGGCCGGGTGTTAATGAGTTTGGGATTTCTGGAGATCAATCAGAGAGGAGGGCGATCTCACACCGAGCGGTCCCTTGAATTTGACGACCCCTCCAAATTGTCTCTGCCATCTGAAGTCGGCTTCGCTAGCCCCACTTTGCAACAGCTCACGCATGTTACCTGGAGATAGTTAAGCACCTCTCGCTCGCCGGAGATCTCGGGCATGGGTGTACCTAAGAGGAACGACTCTGGCTGAGGTCCCGGAACGTCATCCAATGATACCGTCGAGTATTTGCGGTATATAGCGACCAGTATGGCAAGTACGCCCAATAAACTGAACGCAGCGATCATGACGGATAAACAGTTGGTTATACTGGAAGCGATTGACGGAGACCTGTGAGAGGGCTTCCTCTGGAAGAGCAGTTGCTCTTTATACCACTTGAGTTGAGAAGTCGTCCGAACGGGCCGATGACATCAAGAAGAGGTAGGTAAGTGCCGCACCTCTTACATCCAGCAAGTCGCCCACATGACCAGACTCTTAGACGTGCGAGCAGGACGAACGGGCGCGCTCTTCCGTCTAGGTTGTTGACTCCTCTTTATAACGTAGGGCGACGGGAGCGTCGAGTGGCGTAATACACCCTCGCGTAAGGCGTGTCCACCAATGGAAGGAAGACATCCCGTGTTTCCTGGTGAGAATAAAGAAGCATGTTACTTGGGGATTCGTGGGCGTCTTGCGGGTCGTTATTAGATTCTGTAGCATTGGAAACATACTCGTACTCTTTAATTTCGTGTAGTTGATCCGCGGGGTTCCTCGGAGGACGCACGCATATGCCTTGTCTGCCGGTGAGGCCCCGACGAAAGCGCATCGATGAAGCTACCCGAGCCCTATGCATGTCATCGTGATATGAAACCTGTTTTTCCCCTCGGGGAGGGAACCACTATACCTAGAACGATTCCGTAGCCTCGTATAGTATGTACCGAGCTTCATTTCACCAGCAAGCTGCCTGATCTGACTGGCCTGCCTATTGTTGACCTGGCTGGAGTCGTCGTCATAAGAACGGACCAAACATTTATCAAATTGCTTCACTTTCGTATTGACAACAGCTCGCTGGGTACCGTCGGAGATGGTTGAGAAATAAGCTTTGACGTGCATTCCTCAGTCCGGCAATATCACAGAGAGTCTACAGACACAACTGCAAGATGATAGCAGGTACGTTTCGCCGAGCGATGCCATATTGGACTTTGATTAGTCCCTATGGCAGACCTACCGAAAGGCAGGAGATGAAGAACGGCGCACGAAGGAGTGTGAGCTGTAGCTGGCGTAGTGTCAGGTGTGCGTGGATCATGCAAGAGAAACCTTTGTAGGAAAAGTGAAGAAGAAAAATTCATCAATATCTTTACGACCTATACTGATGCTTATCCGTAGCCCGTCAGACTGTGGTTAATGTATTCATGGAACTGGACATGAGCGAACAGCTTCTAACATGCGAATCCCTGGCAGATACCTATGTGGAATGGTACATGCGTGGTACAATACACCACTCCTAGTTGCAATACGGAGAGGCAACTGCGAGCCATCTGTACGATATCCACAGAAGGGAAGATCAAACCAAGTCTTCTCGGCATAAGCGACCGCAACCTCGAAGTCGTGAATGGGGGCAGCGAGGAAGGTCTGCATCCCCTGTTAATAGAGTGAGTATTCGAGCAAGAAATCGTATTATGGTGGGCGAATGAAATGTTCACGCAAATTGCCAATAGATGCACGAACGTCATCCTGGGCAGGACGCTAGTGGATCATGATCTCCTAAATAATACGACGAACGACATACAGGTTCCTAACAACCCCGATGGAGGAACTTTTCTTGTGCTTGCGTAGAAATAAGGCACATTACTGGCATTTGCAACATGGAGAGACTGAATACTAGTACGCGCCCGCCTGTCAGAATGTTCGTTTCGCCAACATAGCACTTCCTCGGGGCCACTACTTACAGCCGCTTGCAGATCGATAGACCATCAATTCAGAAAACCACGTATGGTCGGAGTGGGTCGGAGTGGGTCGGAGTGGGTGCCAGGGACGTCGGAAGAAGGTAGAGAAGTCCAGATGGTCTGATCTCTGTCTCTCGGGGACTTGAAATTGCTTGTCCGACGTGGTCCGACTGTAAATGATTTTCAAAAAGTGGGCCCATCGACCTGCAAATGGCTGTAGCAGTATGCCGGCAACTAGTAGTACTTGGTACTAAGCCTGAGTAGTAGCACGGATCCGCAGGCACTCGGACGACCCGCAGACGGCTCCGCTGCCAGGGAAGGATAGATGCACGTCAAGGCGACGTCATGGGGCGATATATACTTCTTCGGGGGTATGGCGTCCTAATGCGGCTCGCGGTGAATGCGCCGTGGCAGAAAGAGCACTTGAGGAGGCATGCTGCTTGATGCCGTGAGTAGTTAAGCGACGAGGATACCGTTATGTCTTCTCTTGGTCGTCGAACGAGCGAAGACGCAAACGTAGCATTCATGTCGAGCGGGAATTATATCGGCTCCGTGGACGTCGCGGGGAGGGCCAAGTGGCGGTGGCACCTGCGCAGCGTTCCTTGACAGGCCTTGACTCGAGGGTCGGAAAGGTGGCCCGGCGTCTGCTTAACGGCGAACGGGGGCGTCAAAGGTCCCTACATAGGAACAGCAAGGGGGTCCGGGCCGGAGAGGGTGGCGCGTAGCGGCGGGGTTGGGGGGGGGGG